TGTGACGGCCCAAGTTTTTTAACCCGGTGCGTCAGTGATGAACCGAAAGATGACCCGATAATGGATCCGAAATACGGAAACGAAAGATAATACAACAGTCTCTAGGGATACAACATGGCTCTAAGACACCATTATGACCCTCAATGAGGTCACGGAACCCAAAGGAATCAAATGGGGAAGCAACGTTTCAAAAATGAACAAGATTGAACGTAGGGGAAAAATTGTCATTTCCAGCTTGAAAGTGGGTGCCACCAAGCACACCATTGGAATGACAACAAAAAATCAATGAACTTAGACTCAAAAATCGCTTGATTCGGAGTCCGGAAGAAGAAGATATGGCTTACGGAGGAAGAAGGGGCAAAACGGTCAAAAATAGCAAACCCAAGAACATCTAACCAGTTAGGAGACCTTCCTAACCAGTTAGGAAGCCAAAAATCTCGGCCAAAGCACTGCCCATGCACATGTAACCTGTTACGAAGCCTCTTCTAACCGTTTAGATGTGAAGGAGGTAGAATGGGCAGCCCAAAAACCTGGCAGCAGGGGTTTTTCCTGAAAAAATGGAAATTTGAGGGCCTAGATGGCATTTTCTGGAAAAACTCAAAGAAGAAACCCCCCTCAAAATTGAGTTTTCTACGTGACTCATTAGAAAAATTGGAAAATAAGCACTGTGAAATGCCCTCCCAAGAAAACTGGTCCAGAGGGTCCAAAAAGCTGCTAATTTTAAAAACTGAGAGCTGAACTTCGGAAGCGATTTCGGATATCAAGACGACATTTTCTAGAAAATCACAAAAAAGAAAACTCCCTCAAAATCATGTTTGCTAATTAACCATGTAAAGAACGGAATTTATTTCCCAAAGGAAATTCCCAAAATACCCATAGGTCAGAATATGCAACAAAAGTGTAAAATGAGTCCGTAGGAGGCTCATTTCACCAAAGAAGAAGCTTTGCCCGGAAACAACCATGCACGCAAACGTAACTTGCCTAGTAAGATGTGCTACAATGCTCCATGGCCCAAAAATATGGCCAATGCAAAATATGATCCCTCAACGGCCAAAATGCCAAAAATGAAGTTTGGAACGAAAACTTGGAATTTAAAATCATGAGATGGTTTCAAAATGCCACTTGGCCCTTGGCCATACTTCATGCATGGTGAATGAATGCTAATGGAAGAATCAAAATGGAATTCCCATACCCAATGCAAACATGGTGAAGCAAAAACTCAATATTTTACAATACTTTCATAATATTCCATGAAGTCAAAATTTACATAGGATACAATTTACATGTCATTGGCCTCCGGCCTCATCTCATACATGTCAAATACATCATAAAGAGTGTACTCATGTACACATTACATATAAGGAATGAAATGTACACATGTTAACATATAAGGCTATAATTGGCATTCCAAGCTAACCTTCACAAAAATGGAAGTCTCCAAGTCCACAAACCATCCAAGCATAATGAAGACCTCAACTTTGATTCTTGTACCTGAAATATGCCCTAGTATTGTAGGGGTGAGTAACATAAAGCTACTTGTAGGAAATGAGCATGTATCGACCTAGCGTTTTACAAATTATCACCTTATGGTGAAACATGTTAAATGGCTCATGCCACCTAACGTCTACATCAATGTGTGACTCGGGGAGCATCCTAAGCTACCTAAGATCATTTTTAGCATGAAACACATCATTCATGCAATTCAAGCAACATGGAAGCATGTTATACAAAGTAACAAGACATAGATTTTCAAGGTTATGAACTCGAAATCTAAAACACAAGAATTACCAAAATGGGTCATGCCACCTAACGTCTATGTTCCAAATGAATTTATAGGATCATTCCTAAGCCATATTTGAACATCAAAACATGAATCATGATATCAATACACTTTAACTAACATTGGAACTTCCAATACAATGCATAAAGCATGATTTCACAAAGTTAACATCCTGCAACAAAATATGGAGAATCAAATAAGAAACAATAAGTTATAACATCATATAGTTATCAACTTGAAACGAAATGCGAAATCAACCAAAGTGGATACTTGGACGTCACGCCGGATCAGATCGACACCATAGTTACTTTAGGGTTACTAGCCCATGGGTAACCTCCCTATGTGCGCACTAGACTATATAGAGGGACAATCTCCCGTACTAGAACCAAGTCCTAGCCGTAACCAAACAACGACATCCTCAAGTTTCCAAAATCAACAAGTTGTGCAACAACATACATATCAACATGTATATACAAGATATCAACTATCTACCAAGCACAACCAAATTTGGAAACATATACAATACATGCACAAAGTCCACAACTACTATGGCATGAAAAATGTTCAATACAAAGAGTGTAATTTCTCACATAAGGCAACAACATATTCATTAAGGAAAACACATTCTCATGAATATTAATATAACAACTATGTTATCCAATTCTCAAAATATAACCAAGTGAACATACAATAAGTCCAAGTCCATGATTTAAACATAGAAACAACTTCCAAAACGTAATAAAATCCATGGAGCAAATATATAGAATTTAATTAAGCAAAAATAATCAAATTCTCTAGATTCTAAATTAATTCCAAATAACCCCAAATTAATATATGTTGAAGGACATGTCATGGTCATCACATATATAACTCCAAACGACCAATTAAGTGATTAAAACACTTAAAACAAAATTAATTAAGCTAATTAATTAATTTCCTCTAGATTTTTAAACAATTCCAAATGCTCTCAATTTAAGATATGTTAGAGACCATGCCAAGGCCTATCTAAATATCACATTACAACTTGATTTCATGCTTGTTATGACCATGTGAATTAAACTTTCACTAAAGATAAATATTAAATAAAAGTTGTAATTCTTAATCAAATGAGTCAAATTTAATATATGTTAACCAACATATCCAAGCATAATTTCCTAACATGTTACAATTCAATTCCAAGTCATACATATCCTTGAGCATTAAATCCTTTATAAAGAAATTAATTAAAATTAAATTCCAAGATTTATACAAAACATGCATACAAGTTGTATAAGCATATATAATCATCAATACAACACAAATATAATCCTAAGACACCTCCTACCTCAATTTGAGATGAAAATCCCAAATCCCCACCGAATTGAAACGGCTCCGAATCCGACGAAACTCCTAGGTTTTGTCAGGGACAACACGATCTATATGAATCCCCAAGAAGCCCCATGAAAATCCAAACTTGACCTCAATCCTGAACTTAAAATTTGGTCAGAAATTTTTTCTAATAAGGGGTAATGGTAGAGCATGACGAGGTAAACAATAAATGTTAAAGCCGAAGGATTTCTACCAAGGAAATCAAGTGGAGGAGAAGGTCAAAGGGTGGCAGCCATGGCTGCCAAGGATGGCCGGCCAAGAGAGGGGAAGGAGATGAAGAAAATCTGATTTTTTTTTTCTTTAAGGCACCTATTTATAGTAAATCACAAAAAGTGCCCTGAAAGGGCCCAGCTAGGTCCGAAAAAGTGAATTTTGAGCAAACGTGCTCAAACGGCAAAACTCCGTGAACGAAAAAGATTCCAAATGAGAAAATATGAATAATGAAAGAAATGGTGTTGAAAACTGAGTCCCGATCAGAGAGTTATGCTCAAAACAAGTTTGGCGCAAACCGGGGCCAGAAACTCTGAAACTGGAGAAAAATGACCAGAACGGAATTCTATGAATTTACAAGTTAACAAAAAGTGAAAATGAATCCCGTACGAGGATCCAGGCTCCAGATGAGACATTTTGCAATAACTTTCATTAATTGTACAATGGCCCCTACAAAAAAGGTTAACTGCGAAATTGCCCAAGAATGAAAATATCTTCCAAAAGATATTTTCTTAGATGCCCCTGAAATAAAATATCTTCAAAAGATATTTATGAAAAACACCCCAAGAAATAAAATTAATTCCAAAGATTTATGCATCCATGCCCCTATGGGCACCGGGAGCAACCAGAGTACTTTTTGCAAAAGTAAAGATACGTATTTCATGGAAATCACTCACGATAAGGATACGTGAAGTCAAAAACCAACTCCGAGCACAAGAAGTGAGGTTGTGCCAAAAATTGACAAACAGAGATAAGACGAAATAGGGGAAATGACAGAATAGGGAAAAGACAAAATAACACATAGTGTCCAAAAACGAAAAATGCGAAAATGACTCGGTCCTCAAAGGAAGTTGTCAATTTGCATGAAAGAGTCTCAGAAACCAATTCTAAGCACTCGAGATGACACTAAGCGACGAAAAACCATCCACAGAAAAGAAAAGACAACGGAAAAAATTTATCCGCAAAATTTGAGGAAAAAGGGAAAATGAAGAAAATGACTGGGTCATTACATGGACTCCAGGGCAAACCACTCTTCATATCTGATTGGTTTACCAAGATCCTACTTATCTGAATTTGAGGGGGGAGCTTATGCTCGGTGCAATCCATACTCATTAGAGGTCCTATTCCTAACGTGACTCGTCCTTTCACCGTAAGTTCTGACTATTCTATTCACTCCACATTGAATAAAGCAGAAGAGACAGAGGAAAGAGGATTGGGCATTTATTAGGCTTTCTTTGATCCTTCATTTCTTGACTAAGACTTTTTGTCATATCATCAATTCCATCCAATTCATTTCTTTTTTCTTTTATAAGAGAATCATGGATCCGGGCTCAGAGCGAAAAATTTCATTTGAAAGAGCATCCAATGGTTAGCATTCGACAACGAGTGCCTCAGATGCTGTGTGGTCTACTTTACCTCAATTCACCATTTCGAACCCTCCCCATTATGACTTAGAGCATCCCTCACATCTTATAAGTGACTTGCGAAAGGAAGGATAAGTTGGTTTGAGGACCCATTGGTCAAAGGAAAGATGGAAACAGGGGAGTTGGTTGATAAAGATGGACAGTAACGATCGCGTAAGATCCATTTTTCGGCCTTGTCATTGAAAGCATCTTCTAATTGCTTGGAAATTCTTAGCTATATGGGGGCCTTGGATGGTGAGCAAAAACAATTGATCACGAAGTTGGTCAACTTTCGTATGAAAGAAGGTAAAAGAATAAGAGTTCGTGCTATTGTTTATCAAACTTTTCATCACCCAGCCCGAACTGAACAAGATGTAATCAAACTTATGGTTGACGCCCTAGAGAATATAAAGCCTATATGTGAAGTGGAAAAAGTAGGAATAGTAGGTATTATTTATGATGTCCTTGGGATTGTAGCCAGGGATCGTCAACAAACCTTAGCTATTCGTTGGATCCTTGAAGCAGCTTTTAAACGACGTATAAGCTACAGGATAAGCTTAGAGAAATGTTTATTTGCTGAGATACTGGATGCTTACCAAAAGAGGGGAATTGCACGTAAGAAAAGGGAGAATTTTCATGTACTGGCTTCCAAAAATCGAAGTTTCGCGCATTTCAGATGGTGGTAAAGTGAGACCACATAAAGATCTCTTCCTCATTCAGTCAAATTATTCAGTAAGATATGGTTCCTTTTTGTTTGAATCTTCATATAGAAAGTCGGCTTCCTCATACTTCTCCCTTCATTCATTGAGTTGGAGGAATCTAGAGGAGGCCCGCCCGTTATGCATTGCATGAAAAAGCCTTTCTTTCTACGACTTCTCTTTTGCCCCAGGTCGAATGAAAAAGGGAGATCAATCCAAAAATAGGCCTTGAATGAAGAAGTAGCGGTGTAATGACCCGGTCATTTTCCTTCTTTTCCTTTTTCCTGAAATTTTACGGATAAATTTTTTCCATTTAATTTTCCTTTCTGAGTTCAGTTTTTCGTCTCATAGTATCATCTTGAGTGCTCGAAGATAGTTTCTAAGACTCTTTCATTTGGATTGACAACTTTCTTTGAGGACCGAGTCATTTCCACATTTTCACTTTTCGGACACTATTCAGTTTTTGTCCTTTTCCTTATTTCGTCCTTTTCCCTATTCTGTCTTTTCCCCATTTGTCAGTTTTTGGCACAACCTCACTTTTCGTGCTCAAATTTGGTTTTTGACTTCACGTGTCTTCATCTTCAGTGGTTTCCTCGAAATACGTATCTTTACTTTTGCAAGAAAGTACTCTGGTTGCTCCCGGTGTCCATAAGGGCATAAATACCCAATTCTTTAGAATCTTTTTCTTTTCTTGGGGTATCTTTCATAAATATCTTTTGAAGATATTTTGTTTTAGGGGTATCTAAGAAAATATCTTTTGGAAGATATTTTCATTTTGGGGCAGTTTCGCAGTTAACCCTTTTTGTAGAGGCCATTGTGCAATTAACGAAAGTTATTGCAAAATACCTCGTCTGGAGCCTGGATCCTCGTACAGGATTCATTTTCACATTTTGCCAAGTCGTGTACACTTAGAATTCCGTTCTGGTCATTTTTCTCCAATTTCAGAATTTCTGGACCCGGTTGCCACCGAACTTGTTTGGGGCATATCTCTCTGCTCAGGACTCAATTTTTGACGCCGTTTCTTCTGTTATTCATATTTTCTCATTTTGAATCTTTTTTTTTTCATGGAGTTTTTCCATTTGAGTGCGTTTGCTCAAATTCCACTTTTCCGGACTCGGCGGGGCCTTTCAGGGCACTTTTTGAGATTTTCTATAAATAGGGGACTTAAAGAAGAAAAATTAGATTTTTCTCTTTTTCTTCCTCTCTTGGCCGGTAGCCATGGATGCCCATGGATCTGCCACTTCTCTCTCCTCCTTTGATCCACTTTTCTTAAGTGAAAAGTCTTCGGCCTTAACGTTTATTGTTCCCCTCGACGTGTTCTACCTTTCACCCTTATTAGAACCCATTTTTGACCAAATTTTGAGTTCAGGTTTGAAGTCTAGTTGTGATTTTCATGGGGCTTCCTTCGGATTCTTGTTCATCGTGTTGTCCCCGACAAAACCCTTTGGTATCGTCGGATTTAGAGCACTTTTATTTTAATGGGCCATTGAGATTTTCATCTCAAATTGAGGTAGGGGGTGTTATAATTTTTTTTTTTTTTTTTTTTTTTTTTTTTTTTTGGTTATAATGCATGCTTGTGATGCATATACAAGTTGTTTACATGCTAGGATATTAAATCTATAACTTTTGATTATTTATTTTCTAGTATGAGATTTGATTTTCCTGGTTGCTCATAGCTTTGTTTAAACATGTGGCTTGATAGAATATTACCCCTTGATATGTTCATTGACATATATTAAATCTAGATCATTTGGACAAGTAACGAAGATTTTATTTAATATTTATCATGAATAAAATATTAAATCATGTGATCTTATCTAACTTTATATCAACATGTGTTAGCATATTATATTAGGCCCTAGCATGCTCTTCAATATAGATTAATTTGAGAGTAATCGGAGAAGTTTTGAAATCTAGTAATATTTAATTTATTTGATTAATTAATTTATTTCGAGAGTACTATTTACTCCATTGGAATTCCAACTTGACATTCTTGGTGTGCATGTCGTATAGTTTTATATATATTAAATCTAGAATATTTGATTAGGTTTAGAAACCTTTCAAGTATTATTTTTCTAGTATTAAAGTTTAATACTCATGGCCGCACCTTACATGAAATGTACATGTATCATGTTTTTAAATCAAGTCTTGACATGTTGTATAAAATATGCTAGTTTGAGATCATTTAGATGAATTTCAAAACCTAGAGATTTTAATTAAATGAATTAATTAAAATCCATTCAATGACTCATTGGTCTTGATTAAGTTTCTAACTTGGTAATCATGCTTTCCTTGACTAGTTCCTTTATATGTATCAACTTGAGAATAATTGGGTAAGTTTTGAAACTTATATTTAATTAATTCCTTTATATGGAACTTAATTCACATGGTAGTGTCTTGTGTGAAATGAACTTGTAACTTGATATTAGACTTGACCTTGACATGATCCTTGACATGCCTTGTTTGTAGAACACTTGGACTTACCTTGAAATCTTGATAACTTGATCCCTTGAGTAGATTAAGTTCCCTTTTTATGCTTCCATCAATTTAATCATGACCCCTTGTATCTTGACTTCATTAATGTGTTTAATGAACTAGCAAAATTGTCTTAGAATGATTTAATTATTCATGTATTGTTTAGTAAATAATTAAATCATGCATCTTATACTTATGGTATTTTTCCTTCAATGGATTCCATATGCTATATATATCTTGGTTCTAATCTATATAGATGCATACTCTGATTTCTTGACATTTCACACGCCATTATAGTTGATGAACTTAGGGCATGACTTGTGTGTTCCAAAATATTGGTTGTGCATGAAACGTGGTTAATGCATTTCTTGTATTCTTATACTATCTTGATTTGCACAACTTGTTGATTTTGGGACTTGGGATATCAATCAAGAATTGACATGGCTAGGACTTGGTTCTAGTACGGGGGAATGTCCCTCTACACGAAAGTACGCACTAGGGGAAAGGTATCCATGGGTTAGTAGCCCTTAAGTGATCTCAAGGGTACGGTTTTAATCTGGGCGATATCCGAGTTTCCACATTAGTTGATTTCACTCTTTAAATTTCAAGTTGCTATTCCTTGAAGATTTAAACCTTGTCGTGTATGTGAAATGCTCTAATCATGTTTCTTTGCATAGATTTTATGCTTTATTTGTGATCCTTCTCTTTAAATTTCAAGTATTGTATTCCTTGAAGATTTAAGACTCTTTTCGTGTTATATGGAATGTTCTATCCCTGTTGAATTGCATAGATATTGTGTATTATCCTTGATCCCATATACTTTTCTTGTCTTGTTAATTGGAATGTTCCAACCTTGTTAAATTGCATAGATATTATGCCATGTTCTTGATTTGGTGTATTACTCCTAACGTGTTAGTTGGAATGTTCTAATCATGTAAATTGTCTTGACAACTTAATCCTTGTATTCTAGTATCCTTCTTATCGTGTTCTTGAATTATCCCAACTTTAACTTGTTTCATGTATGTATATATATCATAATTTTTGTTGCTTATACTCTATGGTAGCTTAGGATGATTTCTGAGTCTTACTTTGACATAGACATTAGGTGGCATGACCCTTTTAAACTGTATCATGTTAGTCTAAAAATCTGAAAGAAATCAAGTTGATGCATGCTCATTCTCTACGAGTAAACTTGTTTACTCACCCCGAAGTTACTGGGGGTTTTGATCAGGTACGAAGACTTGGTTCGTGATGTTCGTCATTGCTTGGATGATTGTAGACTTGAAGATCTTTAATTCTTGTAAAGGTTGGCTTGAAACGCCACCTATAGTCTTTTATGTTAAAATGTGTATATTAGATTCTATTTATGTAATGTGTACATAAGTACACTCTTTACAATGTATTTAACATATACGACATAAGGCCATGGGCCAAGCATGCCTATTTTTGTACTTGTACTCATTGGCACCTCATTTTGTTTAAAAATGTATTTTTTTTCCAACTATTGGGGGTTTGGCATGTCAAATCTTGTAAATGAAATATAATGAGGCCATGGTTTATTGTAATGCACTTCAATATGTAAAGTACACTTGTTAGCATGCTTGTATAGCTTAAAATCTTCTTGTTGTTGTTTTTTTTTTATTTTTTTATTTTTTTATTTTTTATCCATAATCATGTTGGGGTTTGAGGCTTGGGTGAAGCCTCAACATTTCTTGTTCATAGCAGGTCATCAAGCATGTTTTTGAACTCTATTTCTGGAACTCTATTGTGGTTAACCGATGGCTTTTGGTATTTGTTTGAACGTCAAAAACACTCATTCCAGTAGCCAAAATCGCCATTCAAGGCCATTTCGGTCGACTGATGGCTTATTTCGGTCGACCGATGGTTCATTTCGGTCTACCGAACCAACCAACCTTTAAAAACTTGATTTCAGCAAAAATTTTGTCCATTTCGGTTGTCCAATGGTTCATTTCGGTCGATCGAAATAGACCCCATTCGCACAACTCTCTGTTATGTTTCAACACTGTTGTTCCAACTTCAAACGGCCATATCTCCTTCATTTCTAATCCAAATGGGGTGATTCTTGAGCCTAAATTCATGGATTTTGAGTCATATTTCCAATGGTACCAATTTCATTCTAAGATTCATATCACAGTGGGAGTTATTCATGTTTTAGTGAAGTAGTGTCGGGATTTAGTTTGAACCGGGAAAGGGCTTCTTGTGGAATTCTTATCCAATGTTCTTGGAACCTCTTGGAATGTTGTGAAATGATTAGTATAGGTTGAGTGGACCTTATTTGACTTGGTGGGAGTCAAATTTCCCTTCTTAGTTGTAAATTGACCATTTTGCCCTTGATTATCGGGTTTTGCTCGTTTCTCTTCATCTTGTTGTTTCTTCTACGTTTGGACTCCGAATCATGCGATTCTTAAGTCCATCTTGATTAGTTTTTTTGCTGTATTTCCAATAGTGTGCTTGGTGGAACTTGAATCCATACTTTCTGAAATGACTACTTT